GTTAGCTTTTTCTTTTATATAAAATCATTTTATTATTTCTTTTGTTTGAATTGCCTGTTCCTATCCCTCTGTTCATTTATCAATGGCTCAACCCACGTTGGCTTTGACATAACTATTTAACAATTTAATATTATCTTAATGCTTAGATGCCTCCTCTGAGCACTTGCAGAAATGTTTAATAGAAATTTTAAGTTGATTCCAAATGCTGTGAAATCAAGAAAAAAAAAGAAATTTCAGATTATATAAATCTGAAGCATATAGCTTCCAGATAAACCTATTATTGGTCAACTTCTTTCTTTGAAATATTTTTCAAGTGATGAAATGGCTAGTTTGATAACACTCAATTGCCAAAGACAAACAAAGAAGAACACATAGGTGATTTGGTTTAGCAAGATCTTATATTTTGGCTTTTATTCTAATTTGAAAGTAGTATATTTTCAAAGTATTATGATCCTTCAGAAAAGTTCATAACTAGATAACAGCACTGTTCTTTTGTTCAATGTTTTCTGTATGCAAGTTTAGTTGAATGCCAGTAGATGGCACTAATTACATAAACAATTCAACAAGTTAATGAAGAGTGAAAGAAATGTATGAGATACTTTTTTTCTGTTCAAACTTTGTTATATGTCACATACTCAACAATTATATAGGAGCTTATTTTTACAGTTTGCTCTCTCTTGTGATAAAAACAATTTAATCCCACCTTATTTCCAATTAGTTGCTACTAAATTAAAATACCTGATATTGATTATTGCTGAAGATACTGCATTTGAAAAGTTTTGTCATGAAATGTGGGTTAGCTTATACAGTCATGACAGACTAAATCACATTGTAGAGTAAAAGCAATTATGTAGATATGTTCTGACCTGATTCAGGAGCTATTTATGAAGTATTTTAAGAAACTTCAACTAGAGATTTCAGAAAAAAAATTGACATTCATTCTCTGTCCCATACAAATCTATAGCAGTTGGCCAAAGACCTCCGCCAGTGGCAGATAAATATAGATGTGGCAAATGACTTGGCCCAGAAACTTCTCCGGGATTATTCTGCAGATGATACCAGAAAAGTAAACATGATAACAGAGAACATCAATGCCTCTTGGGGAAGCATCCGTAAAAGGTATGAATTGCATTATTTCTAAAACTATTGTTTGCTATAAGTTGGGATGGTGACACTGGATGGGCAATCCAGATTTGTTTTCTCATTTCTGCTAAACTGGGGCTTGGGAGGATCTAAGCTAACAACTACCGACTAAACTCACAGGCTTGGCTCAGTCTCCTAATTTAAAGATGAGGAACCTGAGGTCTGGTGAAATTAAGTGATTTGTCCACAGTCACAAAGGCAGTGATATAACCAAGAGATTAGACAAAAAAAAATATGATTTGTAGCTAGAGGAGCCATTTATCAGTCTGCTTTGAGAACTCTACACAAAGAGATATCTTTCTGTCCCACCATGGCACATGCTGCCCCCAACCTTAATCTGATAAAGAAATCACTTTGGGCTTCATGATGGAGTTACAGCTGTCCATGGTACCATCATTGTATCTCATGCCACACACTCAATGGAAAAATTCATGTAGGGTAATATGACACATCATTTTATTTCACATTATATATCTATGGAAATTAACAACCCTCAGAGACACTACCTCCTCAAACTAGGTTCTATCTCCTTATTATCTACTCTCTTAACCCCTTGTGCTTTTTTTAAGTAGCACTTATTCCAATTACAAATAAAAATATGAATTATATAGCTAATTGTTTAATATTTTTGTCCTTCAAATTATTCTAAATTCAATGAGGGCAGAGACTGTATCTTTCCTATTTGATACATCCCCAGGTCCTGAACCAGGTGATACAATAGGGAGCTAGTAAATGTTTCTTGAATGATGACTTCTCTTGGGTAATGTACAGTTATGTTGTGCATGCTGTGGTAAGTTAAGGATTGCTGGGTACTTATTTTGAGTTGTGTCAGAAAACAGGGGCAAAAATAGTACCTGTGCAATGATAAGGAAGACCATAGTGAAAGATAAGTAAATTCCAAAAGATGACATGAATTATTGAAAAAGTCAGTTTGATGGTTTTTATTAATAAGAAAAAACAACCATTGAGGGAAAAACAAAACAGATTTTGAAGTAAGAGCAGGAAGTCTTAGGAGGAATGAACTATTGATATATGGAAATTAAGAAAACCAAATAAATCTTGAAACTGAGCTAGAGATTGAAGAGTAAAAACTCCTGTGAAACTTGATTTAAGCTAGTGACCCTGGGGAATAGAGCAGCTCTAGTCCTGAATTCCAGACAGTGGTGTTCAGATGACCATGGAAAATAAGATTCAACCTAAAACTGGGTCCCTATCAAGGGAACCCTGGTAGAGAAAGGGCAAACTTGAATAATTGATATTTAGAAAAAATTTGAAAATTACTACATCCTTTCAGTGGCAAGGTTTGGACTTTCTTCTCCAAATACAGATCTTGTATCTGTTCAATTAAACAAGGGACAGATTAGGCTTGGGAAGAATTATTCACATGAAATCAATTGGTATCAGAGAGTCAATCATTAGATCTCAGCGAAGAATACCTGATTCTCAAAGAGAAGCCTCTTTGGGAAAGCAAATTAAGATCAGAGATTAATTTAATAAGCTTAGGGAATGTAAACTAAGAAAAAGACAAGAAGAAAGCTTGTTCATGGTATGAAACTAAGGCTTCAGGGGACTGATCTCTTCCATCTACACTAATTCTGGCAGACCCCTCGCTCTACATTCTTATGCTTCTTGATGCCAAAACAACTTTCTCAATTTTTCAAAATCATTTTATTAAATTCTTTGTATTCTTCAGGGAAAGAACTTCTAGTTTATTTTTTTTTTTTGGCTTGGTTCTTAAAAAGCTATCAGCTAAGGAAAGTACATAGTTACTCCCCCAATGGGTAAAGCAAATTAGAATGTTTAGAAGCCAACTCACAGTTTTAGCCCATATAGAGTATAGAATTCATCCAGCTACTTTAGACTCATGCCTGTAAAGTTCTTCCCTGTTCTTTTCTCACTTTACATATAATCCTTGCAAAAATTCATCTACTGTGTAGTTTCAGTCTGTTGATGAGTACTCATCTATATTTCCAGCTGAGAATAATCTTTTGAGGTTTAGACATCTATGTCCTACTGTTTCTTTCCATTTTAACATCCCACATGAACTTCAAATTGAATAGATCCAAAGCTAAACTCATCTCTTCCCTCTTCCAACCTCTTTCTCCAAATGCAACCTATGTCTGTGGTCCCTGTCTTAGTCTTTTTGTACTGCTCTAACAAAACACCACGGACTAGACAATTTATAATGAACAGAAATTTATTGGCTTACAGTTCTGGAGCATTTCAGCATGAATTTTGGAGGGGACAAACATATAAACCATAGCATTCTGCCCCTTTCCCCCTAAAAACTCATGTCCTTCTCACACACAAAATACATTCATTCCATCTCAATAGCTACAAAAGTCTTAACTTGTTCCAGCGTGAACTCAAAAGTCCAAAGTCTAAAGTCTCATATAAATTAGATATCAGTGTTCAAGGCATGATTCATCTTGAGGCAAATTCCCCTCCAGTTGTCCGCCTATGAAATCAAAACACATTATGTGCTTCCAAAATACAATGGTGAGGGCTGGGCATGGTGGTTTATGTCTGTGGTCCTGGCACTTTGGGAGGCCCTGGCAGGAGGATCATTTGAGGCCAGGAGTTCAAGTTCAGCCTGTGCAACAAGGGAGACACTATCTCAAAAATAAAAATATAATGGTGAGACAGGCATAGGCTAGCCATTCCCATTCCAAAAGGGAGAAATAGACAAGAAGGGGGTAACTAGTCCCAAGTAAGTCCAAAATCCAACATTAAGTCTTAAGGCTCCAGAATAATCTTTGACTTCATGTCCTGCCTGCTAAACACACTGGGGTAGGGGATGGGCCCCCATGGCTTCAAGCAGTCCCACCTCCATAGCTTTGCTGTACTCAGTCCACACAGCAGCTCTCATAGTTTGAAGTCTTGTGCCTACAGCTCTCCCAGGCTGGTGTTACATGCTAGTGGCTCTAGTTCTGGGGTCTTAGGGGCAGCCCCATCCCCACAGCTCCACTAGTCCTAGTAGGGACTTTCTGCAGCAGTTCAGACTCCACAGTTCCCCTGGGCATTGCCCTAGTGGGGACTCTCTGTGGTGGCTCTGTCTCCGTGGCAAGTCAGTAAAATCAGCAACATGTGGGCGCTGCCAAAGCTTACTGCTTGCATCCTCCAGAGCAGTGGCATGAGCTGCACCTTGACCCATTTAAGTCATGGCTGGGGCCACCAAGGGGCACTGTGCTATCATGTGGGGAGCAGAGACTCCAGGAAGCCCTGAGCAATGAGCTCTTTTTTCCCTCCAGGCCCTAACATTCTGAGCCTATGATAGGAGAGGCAGCCTCAAAAGTCTCTGAAATGCTTTTGGAGTCATCCTCCCATTGTCTTGATGAATAAGACCTGACTTCCTTTTATCCATGATAATCTGACCAAATTATATGGTAGATCTCTTAGTCACATCCTTGGTATTCTCTCTCAAACATACTTTTTTATTCTTTACATGACCAAATTGTTACATTCTGCTTCCCTTTTAGTTATACATTCCATCATTAAATCATTTCTCTCTTCTCTCGTTTTACTGTATGCAGTTAAAAGAAGTCACACTGCTCCTTTAATATTCTGCTTAAAAAATTTTCTGCCACGTATCCTAGTTTATGGCTCTTAAATTCTGCCTTTCATAAAGCTCTAGGGCATGGACACAGTTCAGCCAATTTGCCACTTTCTAACAAGTATGGCCATTGTTCCAGTTTTCCAATACTTTGTTTCTCATTTCTGTCTGAGACCTCATCGGAATTTACTTTACCGTTTATATTTCTACCAACACTCTGATCATAGCCACTTAAGTAATCTCTAAGTTTCAGACTTTCCCTAAATCTCTCCCCTTCTGAGCCCTCACCAGAATCACTCTTAACAATCTATTCATGGAGATGTAGGCTTTTTTTTTTTTTCAGCCAGCTCCTCCAAATTCTTTCAGCTTCTACCCATTACTCAGTTCCAAAGCTACTTCCACATTTTCAAGTATTTGATATAGCACCAGCTCTACTTCTAGGTTCCAATTTTCTGTCTTAGTCGGTTTTGTGCTGTTATAATGAAAACTTGAGATTAGGTAATTTATAATAAATAGAAATTTATTGCCTCACAGTTTTGAAGGCTGGAAAGTCCAAGATCAAGGCACAAGGATCTGGCAAGGATTTTCTCCTTATGCCATTTCATGGCAGAAAGCAGGAAGGGCAAGTGGGGGAGAGAGAGAGGAAAGAGGGCTGAACTTGTTCTCTTATAAGGAACCCACTCCTGTGAAAACAAACTCATTCATGATAACGGTATTAACTCATTCATGAGGGCAGAGCCCTCAAGGCCTAGTTTCCTCTTAAAGTTTCCATCTCTTACTACTGTTACAATGGCAATTAAATTTCAACATGAGTTTTGGAGGCGACAAACACTGAGACCACAGTAGTCCCTATCTGGTAAACATTACCACAATTCATTCAGTTGTTCAATCCAGAAACCTGATTCTCATATTTCCCTTTTCATTCTGCAACTCCCATAGCTAAGCTATCACAAAGCTATTTACTCCCTAAATTATTTCCAATCCAGTCACTTCTCTTTATCTCTGTTCCTCAAGTGAATGACCTCCTCATCACCTAACTGGTTTCCCTCTTTCTAGTCTTCCTACTTCTCACCCATTCTCTGTGTAGAATCTAGGATGATCTTTCTAAATACAATATATTCATGTAGCTCACCCTCTTCCCACTTTCAAAGCCATTAGTAGCTTATCCATTGCTACTTGAAGACAATCCACACTCCTTTAAATTGCTTCAAGATCTTGCATGATTTGGCCTTTCCTTACAGCTCTAGCCTAATTTCCGGCTCTCCCTAGATCTTCCCCCTCCTCCTTCCACACAGAATTAAGTATATTCAGCTATTTTCATTTCCTCATTGCTACATCCTGTCTTCTCAATTGCCTACTGACCTGATACATATCGTTCCCTCTTCTTTGCCTGCTTAAGTTCCAGTCATTATCCAGGTCTCAG